ATCATTATCACCATCACCATCACCACCACCATCATTCATATTCATCATCACCATCATCATCATCAACATTATCAACATCACCAACACTATCATTATCACCATCATTATCATCATCACCATCACCACCACCATCATTCATATTCATCATCACCATCATCATTATCACCATCACCATCATTCATATTCATCATCACCATCATCATCATCAACATTATCAACATCACTAACACTATCATTATCACCATCATTATCATCATCACCATCATCATTCATATTCATCATCACCATCATCATCATCAACATTATTAACATCACTAACACCATTATTATCACCATCATTATCATTATCATCATCACCATCATCATTCATATTCATCATCACCACCATCATTATCATTATCATCATCACCATCATCATTCATATTCATCAACACCATCATCATCAACATTATTAACATCCTTATTAACATCATTATCAACCCCATTGCCATTATCATTTCCAATCACATTATTGTCATCATTGTGATTACCAAAGTCATCACCATTTACATCATCATTTATGCTCACCTATGGAAAGCTACCAGCATGGCAAATGGTGCTCTGTAAGCCTGAAGACGAAGAAACATCAAGTTAGTCTTTCCAAATGTTCTGTCAAAATATTTACTGTACCCTCTGACCCTCCCAATACCCTAACAACTACATGACATACCATTGACAGTGGCAACTATCAAGGATAATTGTGATCTTTACAGAGAAAGTTTTCAAAAAAAAACAATGCTTACTTGTGGTGTGTAGGTGGTTGGAGTTGGTGCTTCTGAAATATCTGTAATTAAATCAGAAAAAGAAAAAAGTGGAAAAAAGTGTAGGGTTGCAGTAATAACTTAGTTTAGTACTGTAGATATTAGCAAAACATGGGGTACAGCTCCCCACTATTCTCTTCATGATCCCTGGCATCACTTGGTACAATTTTAACAAATCAAATGTCAAAAAAAAATTTTCTAACCTTTCATTTGGTGGTTTTTCCTCGTAGCACCTCTGTGCAGTGATCTCCAGCAAGTGTCGCACAGACACAGAGGTGGGTTGCAATCAGCACAATATGATATTGCTATGGCAACTTCACAATCATCACATGTGCGATTGCGGTTGGCTCTCCTCCTTCCACCTGTGATATAAATGGGATATCACTTGAGATTTTATCATATTATATTTATGATACCAAGATAATTGACATAACATGTAACTTACTACTTACCTGCTCTAGCATTCCTGTTTTGTCCTCCATTTCTTCTTGCAGGCACATCTCTGATAGTCACAAAATGTATCAAGATTAATAGTTTGAATAATTTATTGAAGTATTATGATCATCCGGGTAGATGTAATCCTGAGAAGGACTGTTTGATGGGACTGGCATTTAGACAACCTGAGTGGAAGTCATCTTCAGAGTCAAGCGAGCCCTGTGCTTCAAGGGTATTTCTCTGTGCTCTCCAGTTTTCCGCTTTCTGCAAAATTCAACTTCTAAATTCCAAATGAAACAGCTATTCCATAGCTCAGCCATAACCACATTCCATTCCATCTAGAATGATCTCCTGTGGCCTCCTAAAGCAGTTATGTAATATATACAGTATGAGTGACCGTGTTGTATCAGATATACAAACTCAAGGCGTAGCTGGGCATTTGTATATCGGATACAACACGGACACGAACACTGTAGATTGCTTGTCAAACGTCTAGGTTAGTTCCTTTGTATTTCACTAAAATTTTCAAAATTAAAGTGAATCTGGCCAAGAAAATCCAACTTAAAGTTTATGCAAATGAACACAATTTTGTATCAGATTTACAACACTCTTCACCGTCGTGATTTCTGTTGTGTTCTCCTCATGAATTATTAATTGAGTTTGACAAGAGACTTCAAAAGTGTGCTCTTGGATTACTGCACCACACCCCTCCTGGAAATCCCAATCCACTTTCATCAAGTTACTATGATTTTCTTTACCTTTGCTGTTCTCCAGACTGCTCAAAATGAGACCTGAATGGGTCATTACTATCAATTGTATTATTATCTAGGAAATAAAGTAAGTACTTAGTTATTTCTTCTGCTACAGTACACGACAAGTTATTTCTTAAATGATAATAAAAAATAAATAAAATAAAATAAAATAATTAAATTAAATTAAATAATTAACTTATTTTTTATAGAGGATGACACGTGACAGTAATTCAACTGATAAACTTGTGGTCCTCTTTTAACATCTCTAGTTGATTAGGGACCGGACCATCATTAACATGGTCATCTGAGCCACGTGAAGGTCTAACCATTTGCAGATGTTATTACGAAGTTAGCACCTTCTCCTCAGTTAATTTAGACCCTGAGTGCTGGTCCAGCCGAGGCGAGAACCCTGACCTCCCACACAACAGACCGACACTCTTACCAACTGAGCTAACCGGGTGCCAGCCTCCTCTACAGTAGATGACATGCTTCTCCCCCACTAACACTTCTCTCATGTTCTGACAATTCCCTGTGTGCTTTAAATATAACACACCATGGCAGTGCATGCTCGATATTCCTACCTCGCAGATAACCAAGCTTCATTGCCTGGGAGTAAATAAAGCTTCCAATGGGATCCCTGTGGTTTTGATGCTCTTCTTGATATGCTTCAAACATTTCCTGTAGCTCTTCCAGAGTGAACTGTGACATGTAAGCAGGTTTCTTGCCCTGATTTAAGCAGTATTCATAGAGATCTTCCAGAGCATGGAAGGTTGCTGGTTGCTTTTCTGTCTCTCTAATTTCAAAGAAACTTAGTTTAATTTAAACCTTTAATTTTATTGGATCCTTAAACAACCTCTGGGCTGATCTAAGTCAGGGCATGGCTAACTTACAGATCAAACCCTGAAACAACCTCTGGGCTGATCTAAGTCAGGGCACAGCTAACTCATACATCAAACCCTGAAACAACCTCTGGGCTGATCTAAGTCAGGGCATGACTAACTCATACATCAAACCCTGAAACAACCTCTGGGCTGATCTAAGTCAGGGCATGACTAACTCACAGATTGAACCCTGAAACAACCTCTGGGCTGATCAAGTCAAGGTCTTAAAATATCAGACTAACCCTGTGCCATTTAACAACAGACCAATAGCCATACAGCGACGGATATAAGACTTCTGAGCCTGGAAGCACAGTCTTGCATCCTCAGGGTTTGAGGCTGCCTCCTGCTCTCGTCTTCTCATGTTAGAATAGAGAGTCGTGACCCAAAATGGGTTAGATGTTGTCTCCAGGATTGTGTTATCTTGTAGGTTGTAGTAATTGATAGTTCTGAATTAAGAAAATCAACCATGTTGTGAGTTATCTTTAATTTGCAATAACATTTTAAGAAGTTTTTTTTGCTCTTTTAATATAGGTAAAGACAGGTTCCAAATCAAGGTCTTAGATTGGGCTGGTGTGTGTGATGGTGTTTGTGTGGGGAATGGGTGGGGGAGGGGGGGCTTGCATTATATGTTGCTTTAAAACTAACTTCAAGTAATGCTGCCATTACCATATCATTCCAACAATTAAATTTTCAACTCACAGGTCGAACCCTAAAAAAACATTTGGGGTGATCTAAGTCAGGGCACAGCTAACTCACAGACTGAAAACTGAAACAACTTCTGAGCTAAACTCACGGTTCAAACCCTGAAACAACCTCTGGGCTGATCTGGCAGGGCATGGCTAACTCACAGATTGAAGAAGAAGTGTTCTGCCAATCCCCAAATGCTAATATAACTGCACACGGCACAGCAAAAACAAGTTTTTTGTTTCTTTTATAAAATACAAATTTCAACAACCGTTATTTTGGATAGGAATGGAACAACTGCAAGTGTGTGCACGTGCTGTGTGCTCTCATAGAGCACATCCCAACCAATCAGAACGCGAGTTTTATAACAGTTATTTTATAATTCCACTCATCCTCCCTTGAACTACCCTAGGGAAATCCTCCATGACCTAACCTGTCATCTGCTAGATCTACAAATGACCCATCTTGTATTGCCACATACAAAGCTGTAATCTTGCATGCTTTACCAACCTTTCTCGCCTCCTAAAAAGAAAAAAAATACAATTTATCTAAAATATCGTTCTGTAGTAGCATTTCTAAGCAGATCGTGAGTGTCATTCCTAGTGACAGCTACGTTTTGTACCTCTTTAATTTTCGTAATTTCTTGAGTATGATCTACATTTACCGTTATCACTGGATCCGTAAAGGCAACAGAAGGATCATATTTGGTTTTGTTCCGTATAAAGAACCTCATTTTGTATAAAACATTTTCTTTTTTTGACGCTCAACAACACAAACCCCGTGTGAGGTTTGAAATTTAACACTTCGCGCCCTCACTACAAAACCCTGTAAAAGATCAATACAACGAACAATGTGATTGGCCAAATTCATTAAATCCACAATGAACATTTAGATTCACTTTTATGATTGGATCAATTAAGAAAGTATTCCTAATATAGGTTTCGAAAAGAGCCAATCAGTTCTATCGTTAGAAAATAGAGACTTCCCGCCTTTCTTGTAATAAGAGTTTTGATTGGTCATAAATTAAAAGAACTAATATTGGCTTAAAAATTGACCAATCATTTTTATCGTTTGAATTTTTCTTTAACTATGACGCTATAAATTTCCATAAAATGGTTGAAACGTACTCACCTACGGGAAAAGAATTTTAGCATTTTATTTAGGTTCTATTTTTTCAATTTTTTTGCCTGAAAATGAGTGCTGCTCTTGCCCGATTTCTTAGTAGAGTAGAGACTATAGTCCCTTCTCGCATGCTTCCCTTTTGGAGAGCTCAAGCGGGTAAGTAAAGAAAGAAAATGCCTGAAAAAGTACATACAACCTAAGTCTCTTCAGCACAACTTTGTTCCTATTTTTTTTACTAAGACTGATCTGTTTTGCTAAATTATTGAGTTAACTTTATTATCGATTCTCACAGGTCCACAAACGATATTTTTTTGGGCTCCAGCCTTCAAGTGGGTGAGTGTGTTACAATATTTCGCGAAGAACTCAAGCTGAGCTGCTCAAGCTTATATGAACTTATAATTTATTTAGCTTGTAGTTTCATGATAAGTAACTTCTTATTTAAGCATTTTATAATAAAATTGAACGATAAAAACATGTTAAAATGGGACGACGTTTCGACGTTGCACGACGTCATTATCAAGTCAAAAATGAAATAAAAAAGTAGAATATGTATAGAAATAATAACAATAGATATATAATAACATAACCAGACAAAAAGTTTGGCACGTATGGAATCTGATTGCACATTCAAACTACTGTAGGTTTGAGTTTTTTGATCAGCAACATCTCATTAATGAGACAGTCAAATCTGTCTTTGTGCTTTTTCAGAACTTTGAATTGGCTGTATCTCATGAAATGTTGCTGATCAAACAACTCAAACCTAGTTTGAATGTACAATCAGATTCCATACGTGCCAAACTTTTTGTCTGATTATGTTATTATATATATATTTTATATCTATTGTTATTATTTTTATATATATTCTACTTTGCCTTGATACTGATGTTGTGCAATGTCGGTACGTCGTCACATTTCTAACATGTTTAAAAATTGTTTTTTTATGCGTTAAAAATAGGAGTCAGTACATATAATATATATATATATACCTTTGAGAAAGAATGAGATTTGAATATCATCTTTTAAAGAATATTGTACTTGAGATATCTTGATATCCACCTCCACACATAATCTATTCTCAAAGTGAATTACTCCACAATCATTATACCTTAACAGTCCCTCCCCACTCCTACAAAATGTCTGTCGAGATTCCTAATGTGCTAATTGAGAATCAATGTATTTTGTTTGTAGGGTCTTGTCATTGCTGGTATAGCAGATCTTGCAAGACCAGCTGAAAAACTTAGTGTTTCACAGTCTACAGCTCTTGCGGCAACAGGTAAGATTTCAAATACATGAGACATTGTACTCAATTCTTTGAAAACCTAACAACCATTCCCCTTCCCCACTACGCTTTCTGTGTTGATATTTTTCTGGTAGGAAGGGGTCAATGTTACTTGTCTGAATTTACCCTTACAGGGGTTTGACAAGGAAAAATACAAAATTTTATCAATAATATAATGACTAAGTTTTCAAATATTTTGAGAAATGTACTAAGATCAGGATTTTTTWAAAAATGGTATAATTAGTGGATTCTTTAATTTACTTTCCAGGTTTAATTTGGTCAAGATATTCAATGGTGATCATCCCAAAAAACTGGCTATTATTCAGCGTTAACATTGGATTAGGAATCACAGGAATCAACCAGCTTGCCCGAATTGCATAGTAAGTGTATATCTAACAGAGCTAGGATCAATATTCATAACAAACCGCAAGCCCAATCTTATTGCAAACAACAGGATCCCTATATTACCATGGTAATAACCACAGAATGACAAGCGAGTTAATTTGATCAACGCATTTCATTATGAAGTGGTCTTTCCAGTTAAGCGTCCTGCTGGCCATAGAACAAAAGCTTCACACTTCTCCGACTCTTAATTCCCCAGAAATATTCTAAACATGCAGATCTGAATGCGCCCGAACGCAATTAAATTGGGCTGGCGGCTTGTTATGTCTGCAGTGTTCATAGTGGGATAGATTTGATTAAAATAATAATAATGGGAAATTAACATTGGTTACACAGAGTGTCTGTTATTCTACTGAATTCTAATCAGAATTCAGAAATTTATATTTGATGAAGGAGGAAAATTCATCGTACTCATCATACTATCACATGCCCATGATACAGCTTGGGCTGCCTGCGGTTAGATGGCAGAACAATTAAATCCCTTTGCTCTTTGGAATTGGATTCTTTCTTATGTGAAACAATTGTATTGTTCCTGCTATCTAACATGGCTGCTGTCACATTATGGATCAAAACCTCTATTCAATTATTTCACTCGTTCATAATTAATCCCAACATGTACTTACTTCTGCTCTGCTATAGTCATAGACACACATTATCAAAAGCTGCAGAAGGAAACATGCTAACAGAAGAATCTGACAAAACTACAGAACAAGCAACAGGAGACAAACCACAAGTTGAAGTAAAAACTTCATAAATGAAGAATTTCAAATCAATCAAAATACCTAAATTCAACTAGAACTTCTATTAAATGGGTACCTTTTAAGCAGTCAACCTCTAAACCCTCAGGGAAGTATCAAGTGGACACTAAAAAAAGAGGTTAGCTGCTTAAAAAGTGGCTGCTACAGTACTTCGATCAGGCAAACATTGTCTTTTAAATTTTTTAAGTTTCTTAAAGTTTAATGATATTTAAATAGTGATAATGTCAATATTTAAAAGCATCTCACTCACTCTAAGCTGCCGACCACATAAATCCAAAGGTTAAACTAGAAGATTTTGAAAGCTCTTAAAGTGTGTGTTGGAAATGTACTACTTCGACAATGTGATGGCCATCTTGAATCGTAATGCATTATGGGTAATCCAGGGGGCAAATAAAGCTTTGTTACAGTAATGACGTTGATTGACATTAACAGCTCACCACAAGAGAATACAACAAAAGACGAATTAAGTTGGCACATCAATTACCTTTACACAATAAGAAAGACAAACACACGAAACCCTATATATTTTCCGTCATCTTTGCTTTGTTTTGCACCCTGACAAGATGGCCACTTTATCGTCGAAGTAGTCCATTGGGGTGGTTTACAAAATTGATCATTATCCAGAAGGGGATGAACAAAGAATCATGTGGAAGTTGAGAAAAAGAAAATAGAAATACTCATCAGAGGAAAAGGATGCAGAAATAAAATGCAGTGGTCCAAGTTACATGCCCTGTGGCACTCCCTTGCCTCAAACTTGCACAAAACATATGCATAAGTGTTTTATATTTAAGTTATTATTCAAGTTTTAGATTAAATAGCAAACAACCACAAGATAAGTTTTTACTTGAAAGCTAAAGCTTTTTATCTAGTATTTTTTAAGTTAAGCTTAATTAAAGGATATTCTTGTACAGCCAGGACAGACTTGGCTCAGTCTCAAGCCCTCAGGGTTTCATGCCTGTGATACTCTCCCCATGAGGGTACACCAAACCCCGAAAGCTGGAGACTGAGTGGATTTGACTGATACTGATATTACTCAAGGTTGTAACGAGATGTTAATAATCTTAGATAGGGAATATATACTTTTAGATTCGTTTTGTAGTAACATATAATTAACTATGTATTAGTTGAAGGTTCAAAAATTTATTAGTCTTGTAGATATACTTTGAAGCTATTTTGTGTTTCCATATTAAATAAAGTTGTCTTCTATTTCTTCCACTTTCGAAATTATATTTTGATTGATTGATATTATATGTTTCAGTGAAGGTCTGTAGAACTTGTGAGCTAGAAGTTGTGTATTTTTTACTGTCTTACATTTTTAATGGTTTTATTTGACATTGTATTCAGATCTTGGATATGTTTGGCCAAAATTCTAAATTCATGATAGAGTACAAACACTAAAAGTGTGCAACACTTTGCACTACTTAGTAGTAAATAGTGTTCCCTGCTAGCAGTGCCTATTTTCCTTTTGTTTTGGTTGAGAGAGAAAAATAGACTCTGCCGATGTAGGACGTTATTTCTGTCACGCATGTGTGGCATAACTTAGCAACGCTGCCATGATTTTGACAGCCGCTCTCGTCAAACGGTGTTTGGTGCCACGTTCTGTTACATTTGCTAATGCGCACTACATGTAATCGGTTAAAAACCGGTTTTAAGACTGGTTTTGTTTGTCCACAATTGTGGACGGCGGTGTATCAAAGGAAACGCTCTACATCGGCAGAGTCTCCTTCCTCCCCGCCTGAAAGAAGGGAGAGAAAGAGCAGAGAGACTCTGCTAGCAGGGAATAAATAGTGCTAATTAAACAATAGAAAACAATAGGATTAGCATAATTTAGCAGTATTTAGTGGTATTTATGTTACACTTATAGTGTTTGTACTCTACCATATTATAAAATAATTATCCATGTCAAAACATTTGTGCCACCAAATTAAAACAGTTCGGCCATCTTAAAAAACCTTACTCTGGAAAGTAATCTGATATGTTAATTTTATGTAGATAAAGTGTTAACTCATTAATGACTATTTATGAAAGATAAACTATTAAAATTATAGTTAAGCATTGATTTGGAAATACTTAATTACAGGAGGCAATTTGCAAAAGTTTGACTGGTGATAATGTTTTTGCATACTTTCATTATAGGCTTTTGTACATCCTTTTTGTACCTTAAACCTGCACATTTTGATACAAAGCTGGCTGGTTTTACCAAATTATGAGTGTAACAGTAAGTTTAGGGCAAAAACCTTGTGCATCATCATCAATGTTCATAAAAAAGGTGTTTCTAGTCATCAACAAATTGGGCTCCAAAAAGTGCTGTCTCTGATATCTGACTTCTGAGGATCAAATCTGTTTGCTTCTTCCACTTTTATAGAATTTAAAAAGTGACTTGGTGCATTATGTATTGTCTTTTTCCTGTGTTTTATTGTATTTTTGTATCATGGGCTTATCAGCAAACCAGGATTCCACCTCCTTGTCATCTGATCCCTGTTTACGAGGCAGTCTCCAAGACTCAAAGTATGTGACAAGTTTCCCATCTTTTGATGGAAGGATCTCGGTCATTTTTGCTCCAAATTCTTTTGTCTACAAGCAGTTGGACAAATAAGAACAAATAAAATGAACAGTTAGTTAAGTCAAATTTTTATTCTCTCTTGACAAAGTTATTTTGGTACATATTAATAAGGACAGTGGGGAGTCCTAGTACTGCCCCTCCCTCTCAGTAGCCTTGATTTGAAATGAAAAGAATTTTGGCAGAATTTTCTCTTCAACTTCCCTATACTTATTTCACATTTCCCTGCTTTCTTTTCCCTTCCCTTTCCCTCTTTACTCCTTTTATCCTTCTTTTCTTCCTTCCTTCCTTCCTTCCTTTCTTTCTATTATTCACTCTTTTGTCCTTTTTTATTTCTTTTCCCCCTCGTTCAGAAAATGATAATTGCTAAATGTGCCAAAGAAAATTTGACAAATACATAAATGTTTTCTCATTTTACATGACGACCTGACCATTTTTAGGTATTATTCTATTAAGCAGTAAAGTTTGAGTAGATRCTTACAGTTTTCACCCCTAAAGCCGTCTTTACTCCATACACAATGACTCCAACCCCACCAATGGCCCACAGACTGCCATACGCAAGAGCACGAGTCGCAAGTTTGACTCCCTCGTTGTATCGACCAGTGAAGGCGTCCGGACTCTTTTTCCTTGCCATACCAAGAGTAACCCCAAATCCACCCATCATAGAAGCGACTGTAACTCCTGTTAGTAATAACGCTGCTGATGTGAGACTCACTCTAGGTGATTCTTGCTCAGAATCGCTTATAACTGATTTTTTATTTGAGCTGTCGTCTCCTGGCTGTTCGTCTGCCATCTTGGATTTATGAGACCAATTTCCCATCCCCTCCCCCCTGGTTCTATTATTCGCGTGTCCTACTTTTATCAGATTCGCATCTTTTCAGTTAGTAAGATTTAATATGTACAATTTTTTCCAAAAATCATTAGAGATATTTTTTTAAAAACCTGAAAAGATCGGGGAGTGGAAAAAAGAGGGTCAGCCCCTTTTTTCTGTATTTTTTTTATCATTCTTACTACTTTTTACAGCATATTGACATCCCAATGTGTTAACCGTACATCTTGAATACTTATTTAAAATTCTAGGTCCTTCTTTGCATTTTTTTTTTTTTTTGCCTTTTTTTTTTCTTTTTCCAAAGAATCTTTATGCGGCTGAACGAAAGGGTTATGTTGGGTTGCCTGTGTTGAAGACACGCATGCGCAGTAGCACCCATCTATCGGGTGGCGCTTACCAGCAAGAAGAGGGTTCACCAAAAAAATGACCAAAAACTAGAGCCGGTTTCTGGTGTTTTTTTACCCGTCACATTCTTCAAAACAAGACACCCGGGAGAGAGCTTGTTGCTAGAGCCATGGAACTTTAATTTACATCGTATGGAAGCGAAACTCGACCAATGAAGGCAGAAAACTCGAAGCATTATAGTCCTATCATGACCAAGCGAAAGTGGGAAGTGTTCCCTGGACGCAACAACTTCTTCTGCGATGGGCGTATTATAATGGCCAAAAATAACGGAGCCTTTTACTTTGCTTTAGCACTCATCATTGTCACAACAGCCTTGTTTTTTGGATTTAAGTAAGTAGTGCTTTTTCCGCCTCCAAAGGCGAGAGTTATAGTCGATTAATGAGTGTCAAATGAAAGTTTGCCTCGCTTGTTGTGGTCATGAGATCATAGCGAGAAGAAGCGTATCAAAGCAAATAGTCAGAAATACTTTGAACCTTTGCAAAGCAGATCCTTAAAAAGCTTTTCCTTAGCTACTTATTTCGCTCTTAGACGGCAAGGAACTCCCCTTTTTTGCTTTTACTCTTCCTTTCTTTACAAAACAAAATGAGCGAGAGACTGAAGGTTTGTAATTTGATGCAAAAACTCGTTTTGATATTCTCGATATTACAGATCGTTTACTTTGTTATTTAGCTCTGGTTACAAGGAATTATATCAAATTAAGTTCTAGTATTGATAATTTCGAAATTCGTTTAAAGAAAAACAATTTTTTGTGTACAAATATTCATATCATTTTCTTTGACATTCAGCCTTTTATCCTCAATTTTTGACATCTAAAACCACAATATTTATGAATTCTCATTATTTTGTCATTCTTTGTATAAGCTTTCATAATTTAATTCTATTTAAAAAAGGATCAACTATCATTAATCTTATTGTTTTATTTTGGTTGGATATTTTCGCTTTTTTTTTTTCACTTGGAATTTTTTATTTTGTACAGTAATCTCAATAGTTAACTTTACTCAAAATAACTTAACTTCAATTTGAACATTTTATACAACTAGCTAAAGAATTAAATTTTGCCGATACTCTGAGACAGCCTCTGGGCTGATCAAAACTATTATGGCAAGGCTTAATCACAGATTGCGCTTTATTTGAACCCTGAAACAATTTCTGGGCTGATCTAAATCAGAGCATGGTTAACTCAAGGATTGCACCCTAAAACTAATAATTAATTCTCTTTTTACCTCCACAGTGCTCCATTTCTGTACTTAGAGCTTTCGCCTGCAGTACCATTTGTTGCGGCTTGGTTGTTTCTCTTTGTCATGGCAGCCCTGTTAAGAACCGCATTCAGTGACCCGGGTATTGTTCCCCGGGCCTCTGCTGAAGAAGCAGCCTATATAGAAAAAACGTTAGGTGAGCATGCAAGGTGCAACAAAGGCCAATGGACTACTTTGTAGATACAGCTGCCATCTTGTCAGGGGGCAAAACAAAACAAAAAACAGAAAATATATAGAATTCTGTGTGTTTGTGTTTCTTTTATGGGTAAAGGTGGTTGATGTGTCGCCTATATTTATCCTTTGTTGTATTCTCTTGTGGTCAGCTGTTAATGTCAATTGACGTCATAACTTGAAAAAAGGTTCATTTGCTCCCTGGATTGCCCATGATGCCTTGTGATACAAGATAGCTGCAGTATCGTAATTTAGTCCTTCCTGGGGAATGAATTGGGTAGCCAGCCATCTCTCCTTGGATTTTGAAAATAATAAGGAAAAAGCAAAATCTGGTATCCATAGCAGGCTTTATACAAATGTAAAAAAATAAAATAGGGAAAAAAACTCCATTTAACTTGTTCTAACATGGCTTAAAATAACAGCTGATCATTGGATTTGGAATTTGTCATGTCAAATATTTGCCTTGCCGGTCATTTTGACCGGTAAGTTTGAGCCACAAACAAGGCATAAATGCGATAAAACTAATTAATTTGTCCAGTGTTCATTGCTGGAGACTTACCTGTCATTATTTTAAGCCCTTCCCAATAATCAATTTGCTTGACTTAACATCATAATTGTAAATATTACAGCACCTCCACCAACAGATGATACAAGCTACCGTCCGCCACCCAGAACAAAGGAAGTCACAGTCAATGGACAGGCTATCAAGCTGAAATTCTGTTTTACTTGTAAAATATTTAGACCACCCCGGGCGTCTCATTGTAGTATGTGCGATAACTGTGTGGGTGAGTACATGTCTTCCTAGTTCATGACTTTCAAGAGCATAGCCGTGGTGTCCCATCTGCAACTACCAAACCACCAAGGGCTTCCTTGTCTTGATAGTTGCCTCAACCTGCACATAGCAATAAAAACAATGATGACTTCTTTTTTTTTTCTCTCTTCCACAGAGCGCTTTGATCACCATTGCCCATGGGTAAGACCCTAACATTTTCAGCTCGTATGCATCACTTTTTTTATTTGTCCTATGTTTAAGCAACCATATGATGCATTTTCTTTGATTTTCAGGTTGGCAACTGTGTAGGAAAAAGAAATTACAAATACTTCTACATGTTTCTTCTGTCACTTTCCTTTTATTGCTGTTACCTTTTTGCTTTTGTTATTGTTCATCTAGTAATGTGTAAGTATTGTGTTTATCATTTTTCAACGCTGCAAATATTGTTTTTGATAAGCAGGTCATTCAGGGTGTGGAAGGGTATTTTGTGGGTTGCGGGAAACAGATAAAATATAGCGAGGGATCTGGGAAACTAGAAAAAATGTTGCATAATTCGGGATATTGGTATTGGCTGTGACTCGGAAATTGCCAAATTCAATTTTCGAGATGCCAGATTTTGCTTTCTGATTTTTGGGGAGAAATGTGAAAACATTAATAAGTAAAACAAAAAAGCAAACACATTTGAATAATGAATTGGGTTGTTGCTTACAATTTTCGCAGGATGCGGGATTTTAACAAATGATAGCACATGATTCGGGATCTCAACCCCCCCTTTCCAAACCCAGGTCATTTGTCATGTCGAGCCAGAGGCATATTTGACCTCCCAAAACCCGAGTGTGACTGGACAAAAAAATCAGATGTTTTTATTGATAAGTTTGATCGGCTATTATTTACTTATGTTGCGGTTGTGAAATGCGTTGGGTCAAACTTCTGGCCAAGAATTATTTACCAGTCAACTGATTACTTTTACCAGACATTTGTCCGATGACCAGCAATTTTTTTGTAACATTGTTTTCTCATTTTATATTCCTCACACTCATTGGAGCACAACTAAAGTTAGATATTGCAGTTGGCAATATTTGTTTGTTTGTTTCTCTGTTATTCTCTCTCTATTCTCCCTATTTTATATATATATTTTTTAATTATTGTTTTCTTCCATGTTGAACTTTCAGTAACACAAGAAAAAACAACATTTGTTGGAGCTATGAAAGAATCTCCTGTTAGATATCCTCTTTTCATAAAATACCTTTAAAATATTACTTACTCTCCCACTAGCCTACCAGCGCAAATATCTAGTTAGTCATACGTCCCACTAGAGTGCTCACACTAAATCTGTGAAACAAATACTAATTTTTAGCACTAAATAGTGGTAATTAAACAATAGAAAACAAAGGATTCTGTATGAAATAGTACTAATTAGTACTATTTAATGTTCACGGTTTTAGTGCGTGCACTCTAGTTATTATTACATTTGTTACTAATACTCTTAATGGAAATCCTCCCCCCCCCCCCCCCCCTACTCAGACCCTTTACTTAACTCCGAACAGATCTGAAATGTAGAGTAGGACATAGTATTTAATTTTCCTTAACACTGACTACTATCTTGGTAGCTGTAATATGTTTCTTTTCTATTTGGTCTATTGTTGGACTTACTGGTTTTCATACTTACTTAGTGGCTTCTAACCAAACCACAAATGAAGACGTAAGTTGAATCCTAAATTTATAGCTTATAAATGTAATTGACCATGAAAATTGTGGTGCACTCGCATGTCACCTCTGGGGTCTTTGGTTCCATTCCTGGTCTTAGACATTGAGAAGATTTTGTTAGGCTTGATTTGAGGGTTTTTCTCTGTGTTCTCTGGGTTTTCTTCTGCAAAACCTAACATGCTAAGTTCCAATTTGATTTGTGAGATAGCCATTCCCTGGCTTTATTCAACCCAGTGGTTGTTTCAGGTTATAAGATACATGTATTTATTTTATTTTATTTTTCTCAGATTAAAGGTTCATTTTCCTCCAGGAGAGGACAGGATAACTATAATCCATATAGTGTAGGAACATGCTGCGGCAATTGCTTAACAGTCTTATGTGGGCCATTACAGCCAAGGTAGGGTGATATGTGGTATTTTGATCCTCTGTTGCTTAAATGCATGGTCATTTTGATCCAATTACATTTTACAATTTTCATTGCTACATGCTGATTGACACAACAGTCGCAACAGAAAATATTGGGAAATAGACAACTGTCAATCAAATAAACCATTAACTCTGTGTCTGTCAGCTGCATGCTGAAATTTGGTTTTTCTCTGCCGCCAGTCACAAATATAAAAGGTACCAACTGATTAGGTTTGATTGACAGCAACGAAAAACAAAATTTCAGCATGCAGCTTGCAGACGCAGAGTTTGCATGTTTATGAAAGTTGCTGTAAAGTAGATCACCATATACCTTTCTTTACTCACCGCTGGGTAAATATTCACATATATTTGCTTTGCCTTTGATAAATAATTGTTAAATAAACACTTTTGATCCACCTATATACACATGGATTGAAACAAATGGGCATAATTGCCTTGAAATGATGTGTCACCATCCCCATCCTTGAAATCCAGTTATAGTATTCATTTTTTCTGGTATTAATGGGGTGTGTCTGTCTGTCTTAGTTTGATTGACAGGCGAGGTATGGTTATTCCAGATCCACCTGACTCAGTTAAATACGGTGCACTAGGAACAACCAATCAGGTAACCACTTTATACATCTATGTTAATTACTGGCCATAAGGGCCAGATAGGGGAAAACTTTGCCTGAGGTCTTGAAAACAGGTATATAAAAAAAAGTTGAGGGTACAAAAGATGAATGGCGATCAGTAATTGGTGATTAAAGGACCAAAGCAAACTGTGGACATACACATCTAAACCCAAATAAACTAGCTGTCTCGAATGGTTTTGTCAACTGCAATCCATAAACTCTGTATTATTGCAAGAATGATTAAACAACAGTCAATCTTGGATCTTACAATGACCTATTTCCTATCGCTTGTCACTTATCACCATTTGCCCCTTCAACCTTTTTTGAAATAGATGTATACGGATTGAGAAAGTAAAGTTGATGTCAGTTTTCAAGACTTAGGGCACAGTTTTTACTTGACCGTCTTTAGGCTGATTTAAAAAAATATTTTGTTTCCTTTTCCACTTGTTTTGCAATTTATTGTGTTGTTTGACCATCTGTTTTCCTATGCACATGCTTAAATGATGTAAGCCTCACAACAGGATACTAGAATGCAGGAAGAACTAGAAAATTCTTCATTAATACCTCTAATAATCACTATTATTAACTCCTCAATAAAGATTTTTATTAATAAATTCTCATAAATTCAGGGCCGTCCAACATCTCCAAATGGAGTGAAAGAAACGACACATAGGTTTGACGACACAGTCCCTGCTAGACTAGTTGAAGATCCATCAACTGATGATGGAAGCCATCAAGATGCTCTTAAAAGAGACAGCGAGAAAGGTCTCGTAAAACTCAGTAGTGTGTGATAGGCTACCTGTGTCTAGAACAACTCAATACTGGGCTTCCTGTGTCAGACAAAAGCACAGGGTTCCCACCAAATTCTTCAGGTTACTTGACAGCTGCAATATGCACATTCAGTCTGTGAAAGATAACTACTTATTTTAATTGAGATAGAAGTCAAATGCAAACTAATTCCTAATGTAAATAATGCTACATGGGGTCCCTGTGGTGAAGTAAATGAGTGTGTAAAAAAATATGTAATGTTAAGGTCAACCAATCAGGTTTAGGTATTCTGAAAAGTGTTTAAATCAAGGCTTTACTATCATACTTAAAAGTGAAATGTAGTCATAGTTATTTTCTAGCTTCTTCTTCAGGCCTCTCTCTTCTTTAGGGGTTCTCTCCCCAACCCCCTCTCCTTCCAACACCGCAAAGGGATCCCAAACACCAACGAAAGTCAAAGAAAAGAGATGCCTGCAGAGGACATAAGTTTTTTTCAAGGATTTTCATGCAAATCAAAAATGGTCTTAACAAAGCTCAATAGTTAATAGAAATTGCAGTAATGCAAGTACTCTATGTATGCATGTATGTACAGCTTTGCCGCTACATACTATAGAGATTACTTTATTGACCAACACAACAGATCACTATTTTTTTCCTTTAATTTAGAACCAGATAAATATTTCTACTGCCACAGTTATATACCAAGGCTATTCCCATTTATGTTTCATATTTTGTATATTTTGTGATGTCTGGGGACAGAGATAGCTTACTCTTAAGGGACCATTTTGTTTGAGAGAAAAAAACAATATTAGCCCATAATTTTTTTTWAAAAAAAAAGCTTGACATGGATATCAGTTCATAGTAGGTGATGGAGTCCCATAGAATAACACATTCATAGGCATTTATGTGTGTGACATGGAAAAAGTCCATGCCTGATATGAGACCGTATAAGCACTTCTCATCTGCTTGTGCTGGGTATGATAGGGTTTAGTAGTACTATAGAGAGAGTTTGAGCATTTCTTTGCAGAATTAAAAGATAAACAACTCATCAGTAAGCTAAGCATCTGATACAACTTTGCATTTTTACTTCTCACTTGTATTTTTGCTGGCCTAAAGACTTGTCGAAATACTCAGTGACTCATAACAATACACAGCCGTATCAGAAGCTTAGCCGACCTCAAATATCACATACCCAGGGCTTAAAATATCAGCCAGTCATGTCTGGACAGAATAGAAATTTGTCAGTCAAACCTTTGACTTGCCGGCCTTAAGCCATAAATAAGGTATGGCTGAGTTAAAACTAAGTAGGCTGGTCGTCAGTACTGGTGACTGACTGTCCATTATTTTAAGCCCTAATACCAAAATATTTTTCCTACATCAGGTTTGCCTTAATATAAAGGTGCTGTTGTGTGGGAAGCAAGGCCAAGATCTTTCCCTTTATCTCATCCCTCAATAAACTGTCAAAAACTTATTTTAATTTAACATATTTTGTTTTGTAATTACTACTTTATAATTTATACCTCAGTGATCACTAGTCATAAAAGATCTTTTTGTTAAAAACGATATACGTATTCATAAGGAATTCTGTTTTTAAGATCACGTGTCTGGCCGCCTCCCCTGTCCAAAGAGTATTGTCTCCATCCATCCCCTAGCGACTCTATAGCATCCCTCATTGTCTCATTGTCATCCCTCATTGTCTATCCTCTTGTCCCCTCTGGCATAAACTAATGTGTCTGTCCAATCCTCTTCTCCCTTTGGGATCCCAAAGACTTCTCTTGTCTATCCCCTTGTCCTCATCCAAATACAGCCCTCTTCTATCTTTTTTTCTCTCCCACCCCCTTCTCCCCTGGAGATACTCAAGACATTCCTTGTCCTCATCTAAATGCAGCCCTCAACTATCTATTTGTCTTTCCCATCCCCTTCTCCCCTGGCGATACTCAAGACATCCCCCAGTGTCTATCCCCTTGTCTGCACTATCATACTTTCTCTACTACGAGTCCCTGGGGATCCAAGGGGTAAAATAGGTGCGTAACCACTCTCCTAAATGAAATTTGTTCTAGATGTATTACCTCTCTGATCATACCGCTTGAAAGAAAAAACAGTTCCAGAAGAATTGATGAAAAATTCCTCGCGCATATGATGAAAGTGGCGTGATACCATTACTAGTGCTTACCGGAAATAATTGAAAACTACATTATTTTTCGAATGTATCTTTTTAGCAGTGCCTAAAAATGCTTAATTGTAATCAGCAAATTTTTGAACTACTAAAGCTTGAAATTTTTTTCAGTTTTTACTGAACCAAGTTGATACTAATATAATTTCTTTTTAAAAATAAAATCTCACCTGGATACAATGGGGTTTGAACCAACCGACAGAAATTCGGGAAAAAAATCGACTCCACTTTGCCATACCCCCGAGACATCCGCAGAGCTGTGGCGTCGTATGGACTTCGGACCTGACGGCGATTAAATCCTTCTGCCCTTGGGTGTAGGAATTACGCAAGAAAATGTTCTAGCCGAAGCATCAGGGGAGAGACCAGCCGG